CTAAATTTCATCACTTTCCATAGGGAATAAAAGTAAATAGCTAAAATGAAGATGTGAACCAATTTTAGCCAAAAATATTTCTTTAAGGCACATTTAGTCCCCGCGAGGCCGTCTTTTACAATATACTTTCGAATTCCTATTGTCCAAATATTCATGTGTTCTATCCAATCGACATCTTTTAAATCAAAATTGAAAATTTCCTTGTCATCCTCCGTCATTTCCATGTATAAATTACGTAGATTGTCATCGCTAAAATGCCACTCATTACAATTGAAATAACTGAACATCGTCGTCATCTTATAGACTTTTTCATATAGCTTTAAGAATCTGAAAAGCAAAAGGAATGCATCTTAGAGTAATGTTTGCTTTGCTCAATAAATTCCTGAGGACGTTAGATGCAAATAATCTGTTGATCGACGTAGTATGTGTAAATCACTTATTGATACCCGCTCGTGTCGCTGTGCGCACGATAATAGACGATTATAACGTAGATATAAAATATCAAGATTTTTATGGAACTTTAAAATCCACTCTACATTGCAAAATGACTATAATAAAATTTAAGTCAATCGGGTGTATCGTTTTTTAATATAGTGATGAGTTTGTCAGTTAATCAGTGAGTGGTATTTTGATATATATATATATATATATATATATATATATATATATATATATATATATATATATATATAGATAAATTATAGGTTATTAGATCCAAATAGTTTTTATTATAGACGCTACTTATCTACACATAACATATATATTTTAGTTAGGTTTCAAATGATTTATAAGCAAGAATCAATAAAAAATATAAAAGTTGTTACAATTAGTCCAGTGCACTCCTGTTTCGCTAACAACAGTTAAAACTGTTTATTTGACAGTAATTATTAATTAAATCCCAAAAATCTTTTAAACCATAAAGGCATTCAGTTTCTAGCATATTGTATAAATATTTTCTTATATAATCTTTCGCCTTATAATTTAAATTATTTAGGAAGTTTATTATATATTTTCACATAATACACATTTAGGCAATTCCTTATATTTAACGAGCCTGGGAATGATAACATCTATGACTAGTTTGTCTGGGTCAAGTTGGTTTTGGTTGGAATATATCACTTGCTTATAAAAATTAATTTAATAAACAAAATCTCATTCGTTATTTTTGGATAGTAATTTCAGATGAAACGAATGTTTATGAAAACTTTAAATTAGAGCAACACAGATTTCAACACAAAGATACAGAACACATAGAATTTACCTTCGAGGTTTACCAATCAAAAAACACGTGCCATCAAAAATGTACGCAGGTATATAGTGAAACAGCCAAAAGTAAATAGTAAACATAAATTTATTATTGGTCTCCACACTCCAAGTGCAATATGTAACTAAAGATGAAATTAATTTTTTCGCATCTGTTTTGAAGAATGTTCCAATTGTCCCTGAAAAAATATAAATTAAGAGGTAACTCAGGCATGTTACTATTGAATACATGTTCACAATGAATAACAGCGAAAAATCACTATTGATGCAGATGATAATGTATTTTGTAGATCGGAGCCAGAACTCAAAATAACTGAAACAGAAGCTTTTTTATTAAAGTGAAAACTTCTTTAGCATTGTTGTAATTTGAAACTGCACGAAACGAAAAAGCAACAGTAAAAAGAGACAGACGTATATATCTATACTATATGATTTAGTCTGAGTGAGAATAAGATAGAATACAGTGTAGTTAGCAAAAGTAGCCTAATGGCACGGTGCGGACCATAGAATACTATAATACACAATAGAATGGCTGTCAATCTTATTTTGTACGAGGATCGGTGTCACCAGGAGCACACATACAAGCAATTACGTCGTATTATCACTACTACAAACCCGATTCACTGTATTGACAGACTGAGCGAATTTGATTATTGTCTTTGACACATCAATATTTCTATATTTTTGTTTCTAATATTTACAAAATATAAAAAGTTTCGACTTACTGCTTGGGTAGGATATGTTTCCTATATTTAAATTCCATTTCCCGTTGTTCTTTCGACACGTAATTATTTCACAATTAGCCATTTTTTAAATAATTTGCATGCAGCAACGCTTGACACGAAAATTTAAAACGATTGATTGTGTTGACATTTATAGGTGTGAATTGACATGTTCGTGGCTACATGGGCTCCGCCCACTCCCCTATTCTATTATGTATGTATTGTAGTATTCCATAGTGTGGACCGCGAACTCAAAAGGTTGTGTGTACGAATCTGTCATATAATCGAATGATACTATTAGTAAGCTGAAAAATAATAATCGTATTTTTGAGCTTACCAATAGTTTAAGTGAGAATTGTAGTAAAGTTAATAGCACTGCTAGTATTTAAAAAAAGTGTTTCATATTATTTCGGCCCCATCTTTGTGCGGTGCTTTAAAAATAGTTTATATACATTTTAGCTGTTAAAATAAACAGCAAAATATTAACAAATTTATTAAATAAATAAAATTAACCATATTTAATAAAATTATCTTAATCAATCCCTTCATTACAATCAACAATTTCATAACTTATCGATTTATATTAAATTATATTATAATATCATAGTGTTTAGAATATCATCTAACACCTATCTTATCTACAACTTTGAGGATTATTCAATTTTGTTCGATAAAATGACTTTACCAATAGAATGATGTAGACGTCGCTATTTCAAAGCAATTTATTTGAAAGAAAAGTGAAATCACGGTCTAAAAATAATGATTGTTATATTTATTTGCTATAAACTGAAACTTTTATCTTATATTTTTACCGCACTTGTGGTTGAAAATGATCATATTAAATAAATCCTTTGCTGTGAAATATTTTTATTTCATTTTAAGGTTTCACTTCTACCGCGTGTGAACTGCTTACATGTTTTTTTTTTTCAATATATATTATAAATTTATTAAAAGCCATTTTTAATTTACCACTGGTTCCGGAAATACATCTGTCCTGGAAAGAACCAGTAAGAAACCCAGCGGAACTTTTTTTTAATGAATAATTACACAATTAACAACACAAAACTAATTAGATATAGCTTGGTAGTTATCACCTCATTCCCAAGAATTATTATCATCAATAAATTCCTTAAAATTGTAATGACCATTTCTAAACAAACTTTTTTTTTATTAAAGTTTTAGAACTTTCATCATTATCACCATCATTACAGCCCTTCAGAAGTCCACTGCTAAACATAGGCCTCGCTCAAGTAATGCCACAAGGCAGGTATACTTCTCGTCAGGTAGCTATATCTCAAAGTCTGAAAACTAGATTGTACAACCAGTGCGTGTTGACAGTGAATGACTTAAGTATCTGAGACGTGGTCCTTCACTGCTGGCCGTATGAGGACGCTCAAGGTCGCTCAGCGAAGTATGGAGAGAGCCATACTCGAGGTTTCTCTGCGTGATAAACTCAGAAATGAGGATACCAGCAGTAGAACCAGAGTGACCGACATAGCCCAACGGATTAGTAAGCTGAAGTGGAAATGGGCCGGACATATAGCTCAAAGAACCGATAACCGATGGGGAAAAAAGTTCTCGGGTGGCAGCCTCGTACTGGTAAGCGTAATGTAAGGCGATCCCGCACTAGATGGAGTGACGACCTGGTAAGACATGCAGGAAGTCGATGGATGCAGTTGGTTTAGGACCGCGCTTTAGAACTTTACGGGTGTTTAAATTTGTATATTTAAAAGCGCATACATCGCCCAAGAATTAATTCATTTAGCCTCGGTGAAGTCGAATAACTGATACAATGTAACAACTGTTACCGTTTTAGCCTATTAGAATCCACTGCTGAACGTCCGTCGATTGACCTCTCGGTCGAAGTTAGACTTACCTAGTTTATCCCAGGTAAATATACTCGTCAGTTCGAGCTTAGTGCTCCAATAACCACCGGCATAGGTGTAACATGGACAGTACACATTACTTTTGTTTTGTCCATGTTCGTCTTAAGACCTATCCGTTAGGAGACGCTATGGAGGTCATTGAGCATAGTGCTAAGATCATCCAGCAATTTTGCCATTAGGACAATATCATCGGCAAGTTGAAGGTGAGTGATGTAATTGTCATTGACGTTAATACCGTATCCTTTCAAGTCTAGTAGCTTGAAAATGTCTTCCAATGCAACGGTGAAGAGTTCCGGGGATATTACGTCACCCTATCTTACACTTCTCTGCCGTTGGATAGGCTTCGTACTCTGGTCCCGTGTTCAGATAGCCATCGTAGCCCTACTGTACAAAAACTTCTGCACCTAGATAGACTGACAGTCAACTTGGCACCCCTGAAGGGATAACAGCACGGCCCAAATTCCGACGAAATCAAAGGCTTTTTCGTAGTCTACATACGCATGCAATCTACTTTCGGTGCGAAGTCTTTGAGTCTGCGTGCAAGACGATTTGTAATGACTCCCGAAAATAGCACATAGACGCGGCTCATAAGGGAAATCGGTGAGTAGTTCTTCAGGAGAGCGTTGTCACCTTTCTTGAAGAACAATACCACCGCACTTACGCTCCACGCCTCTGAAGTGGTACCACTATGGAAGACGCCGCTTTTAGAACCTCCGCTGTATTTCCATTCTCGCCCGGGAACTTGCCATTTTTAAGGTGCTGGAGAGCCATTCTAATCTCGCTCTGACTGACATCCGGGATATCATTGAAATATATATCATAGACTTCCTTATAGGGGGGATATTTGCCATAATCGCCACGATTGACAAGCGAGTTGACAAGTGCAGTTTTTTTTTATTTTTAGTCGTTATTAGGAAGACGCTGCTGCCCACCTCCTGATTTGTTTCCCTCTATCGCTTACGACACCTACGAGATGATTTGGGGTAGTAGAAATTCTTATACTACCACTACATGGTAAATACAACGTAACAATATCTGAATTCTTCATAAAGTATGATTGGTAATACCTTTTACTAGTACAATGATAACAAAATACTTACTATCAGGCTGACTGCGTATAAAGGTCTAACTAAATTAAAGTATTAATTCCATTTATTCGCTTACCCCATTTAACTGGATTTCTGATATTACTGACAGTATAGATTCTAGTTTCTTTATCACCAGCCGCATGTCTTCTTGCTGATTGCCAACCAGCAGCTACTACTGCATTCGTTACCATGTCAGCTGGTACGATATTCACTTTCACGTTTACATCAGCATAGAACACGTGTAGAAGGCCTAATCCTGCTGCTATAAGTAACTAAAGGACAATTTTTTAATAAAGCTCTTTTACATTAACATAAAAGGCAAAGAACAAAACATAAATTAAAATAACTTTAAAGATTACATGAAACGTTGAATCTTTAAGGTTATTTTTATAATGATTCAGATATAAAATTATTCTCTATATTTATAATATTTCTTGACATATACAATTTTTTTGCGAGCAGTGATAATGAAAATAACTAAGACCAGTATCACTTCGAGCAGTATGATCTATTCTGTTCACTACTATGGCTAGTTCACTGCTAAGCCCTATATCTTCAATGAATTTAGCTGTGAACATTCTCACATTCATCAGTTAAGTACATCGTTTTCCAGATAAGTACTTTTGTAATGTTGTAGTAATGCAATTAAAATAGAAGCAATTGGTATAGCAACATTTTGGAGGACAAAACGGTACAGCCTCAGCCTCTTTTTCATTTCTACTCTCTCTAATTTTATTTGTTATAATTTTTTGTTGCATTTATATACTCGTAATTCATAATAAAGTTTGACGGACAGGGTTATGATAGTTTAAGTTGGTATTTTAACCAAACCCATAATGAGTATGAAAATAAACATTTTAGCAATGTTAAAATGAGGAGGTGGGCCAACCATGTACCTCGAAGAACCGACAAAGAACGGACAAGAAAAGTCCTCCAGTGATAGATAACCCCTTACTGACAAGCGTAGTTTAAGTAAAGTGCCCAATAGATTTAATGACAACCGAATGAAATTTGCTGTAAATCAATATATACAAGTGGATCAGAATCGTGCTTGGATACTGTGCTTGCATAATGTGGATTGATTTGTGATTAGTAGTAGACGTGATGAGATGAAAATGATGATATAAGGTTCTATAATAAGGTATAAACTCTCACGTCTATTACCCGTCCCCATTTGCACGATTTCTACACACCTCTCTAACTTTTTCATATCCAATGATATAGGTAGTTGATGATGTTGTCTTTAATTTATGCCTATTTTCACTAATGGTATCATGAACGCGTGATGACTATAGGTTACTCATATACACTTACCCCACTCGGGCCATACGCGTAGTTCATGTCAATCCATCCTGGCGCAGGTTCACGATGACAAGAGGTTACTGAAAAAAAATTAAATAAAATATAATACGGGAGTCATAATAGCTTAGGGACTAAGTACTTGCCGTAATTTTAGAGTACGCGGGTAATCCGGGTTATATCCCCGCCGGCACCAATGAAATTGTTAATTGCAATTTTAAGTGCTTATTTACCACGTGTTTGGCGGTGCAGGAATATTCGGACGCCTTCATGGATGGAGTACGGAGGCCTCCATGTCCGTGGTATAAAAATATTTGATGATTAATTATAATTTTGATTTAGTAAATACTTAATGACTACTATTTTACCTATAGCTGGTTTTACTATGGAAACTGGTAAATCATCAGCCATGGTGCGTATAACTTCTTCTGCGGCCGCTTTAGAAAAATAATAAGTATTAGGCCAGTCTTCAATTAACCTGTAAGTAATTAAAATATAATTCTGTTTACTTTGATATTTATCTAAGGCACTTGTCCCCTGCCGAGCAGGAAGCGATTAACTATGTCCTCGCTCAAGGAACGAATAATAGATAGAGATTCAGTATCAATAAAAGAGATACGTATGTTAATAGTTGATCGCTGAATGTTCACACTGCCGGTAAGAACTTTCTACACACCAGATTGTCGCATCGATAAGATACATCTCATCAGCGATGCTCGCTTGGTGATCAGAATTCACGCCTAGAAACCAACGAGAATCATTTTACCCTGCAGTACGGATTTGAGTGCACTCGCTTATAGCCCAGCGACTACACACTTCTCTCTTCTCTTATCTAGTTTTTAGCTCTACTCGCTTCTCGTTCATTACAAGCGGTGGGAAAAGTGCCTTACTCTTGTTTAATATTTGTCAAATAGGTATAATAATACTAAAATAGCAGTGACTTATTTGTAACAAGTTTTGTGTAAATCGTGTTATATGCTATATAGGACGGTTGATATTTGTAACAGTTCCTAAATTATAATGAGATTTGAAATACTAACGATGGTGTCAAGAGTTTCAGCTTCTCATCATTAAGAGTTTCAACAAGCTGAATAAGAATATCAGGTGATGCAGGACACTTTTCAAATTCTTCCGAAATCTTTGTACCGATTCGGCTTCGAGTTGCATGAGAATAAGCTGTGGAGACGTAAACAAGAGAACGAAGCTTTTTGCAAGCTTTTCCTAAACGCAGAGCTTCTTTTGTACCACCCACGTTAGATAAAATCGTTGTCTTCAATTGCCCATCGAATCTCACTACAGCTGCCATGTGAAATATGATATCCACTTCTTCGATTATTGTATCCCAGACTTTTACATCAATACCAAATCTTATGTCACTAATATCTCCCTCAACAGCTACTATTTTATCCTCAAAATTTGGTTTTATTTTACGCAACTCATCGAATACCTGTAAATTTTAGATTTGTTACAAGTTCTATAAAAATGTACTCGCAAACACGGTATATACAATAAATTATATCTTACGGGATCTTCAAATATTTTCTTAAGTCTCTGATGATGCGAGGAATCTTTCTTTGATCGAATCATTATTAACATTTTCTTGATTGCGCATGTTCTGAAAATTTATTATTTATAAAAATTAAAATACGAAAATTTGAGTTCTCATTTTAAGATGTTAATAAATTGAATCTTATGATATTTTTCATCTTCGTCAGCTGTTACTTACGTAGCCCAAAAATTAATAATTTACATGATTTGAATCTTTAATCAGGTAATAAATCAAATAAACGTATATTTTTGGAAAATTATTAAACACTGATATTAATATTCAGACTTTGGCTATTGCATATATTGCAGTATTTATATAGAAGTGTGATAAATGAGCACAAGTTCCATCTAATAGCAAGTGGATGCTCTAACTCATAGCCGTGACAGTAAATTAATAAAATAAATAAAATCCAGATGCGTTTTAAAATGAACTGCTTCATTACTAGCAAAAAGGTCTCCGGAGCTCTATGGAGTTACTTGAGACGAGCTACGTGAATATCCATAAGTGGGTCTGGCAAAGATTGCCAAGTAGTTATATACCAAACTCCTAACCTCAAATACCGAACCACGAAAATAAATTTGTATTCACTATTTTCTGTGGTAAATATAAACTGTAGTTGTCCAGACTTGATTAGGGTTGGGTACACCGAGTTTAATGAATGACGTTATAGTGGACCCAGCACAAAGATTATTCACATAAACATATATAAACACTTAAGCCTGTCACCCAGAGGGGTAGGCAGAGACTACAGACTTCCATTTGGCACGATCCTGACACACCTCTCTCGCCTCCTTCACGTCCATATACCTACGCATACATGCTCATCGGTTAAGAGTACTCCTAATTTGGCCCGTTTTCAATAAATCGTTAATTGGGTCGATAAATTTTCACGTCCCTTTCCGACTCTGTCATTCACTTCTGCAACATAAATTTTCTTTGTCACTCTTTTCTCATTCAATTTTTCCATGACCGAACCACCGAAGCATTACTTTCTTAATCCCGATCTGGCCATCGAAAGCATCATCTTGCAAACCACACTCTTCTCTTATCACGCAATTTCTTACCCTGTCATTCATATTCAGCCCTAACATACTCCTTAACGACCGTATTTCTACTGCGTTTATTCTACTCTCGTGCTTCTTCTGCCACACCCAACTTTCACTACCATATGTTTAAGTAGGGACTAACACAGCATTGTGAATTGCCATACGTGCCTTTTTATGATACATTTTAACTCTTCACAATAGTGTGTCTTCACAATGAGTGTAGGGCCTCATTTACTCTATTTCCTGCGTTCACTCATCGTTCTATATCCTTATCATATCTCCCATCCCTACTAAACTTCCTTAGTAGGGATTAGTAGGGACATTATTCACATTGGAAATATTATTATAAAACTCATCTGGATCTCAAAACCATAAGGCATTTTACTGCAAAGGATTTTCTAACAAGAATCTACATTGCACTTGCTAAAACAGTGTTAACATACTGTATTTCAGTCGGGGGAGTGGATTTAAAAATCTATTTATTGAAACTAGAAAGGGTTCAAAAAGCATTATTTAAAGCTCCACATTTTTACCCATTAAATTTTTCACTAATAATTTGTATCGTATCGAAATCGCAGTTGCATTCTGCAGGCTGCCGCCGTGTTTGGCACTATAGGTCAGCCGATTGGGATGGGATGCGGTATTTCTTTGCATCCTACCCTTGGGGGGCGGGTTTGCTTCTCGCCGGTCGATCCCAAAGTTGTTGCGGATTCTGTCGCTGATGTGGTACTTCATTTCCCCCAAAATCCAATACCCACCCGATGTAAACACCAGCGCTCTAAAAAAGGAGTATAATTCCGCCTCTAGGTCCTTCAAAAGAGTCACTGCCAAGGCGAAGTCAGAGCACATAGGCAGAATTGCGAGAAACTAGTTCGCCTACCTTCTGGAACCCGTGCACTCTGGTCTCTCGCCAAGGCTGTCCAGGGGAATTTCTGTCAGCCATTTTTTCCATCTCTGCACAGGGAGGACGACTCACTGGTCCATACCGCAAAGGAGAATCAGCTTTCTCTTCTAGGCTCTTTCTTTGCGTCCAATTCGACTCTCGATGACGGGGGGAGTACGCCGCCGACCATCCCGCGGTGTGAGTGCTCCATGCCGGAAGTGCAGTTCACACAGCGCTCGGTTCGCAAAGCACTCCTCTCCCTGGACATCCACAAATCGAGTGAGCCTGACGGAATCCCCCCAATTGTGCTGAGGACGTGTGCTTCAGAGTTGGCACCGGTTTTAACGCATCTTTTCCGGTACTTCTACTCCCTAGGCTTCCCATCTAGACGGCTTTCGTCCACCCGTTCCCTAAAAAAGGCGACCGCTCAGACCCGTCCAACTACCGGCCTATCGCCATCACCTCCTTGTTCTCCAAAACAATGGAGTCCATTGTAAACTGCCAGCTCGTGAGGTACCTTGAGGTGATGACAGCTGATTAGTGACCGCCAATACGGTTTTTGCCGTGGTCGGTCAGCTGGTGATCTTCTGGTCTACCTAACTCACAGATGGGCGGAGGCAGTAGAGTCCAAGGGGGAGGCATTGGCCGTTAGTTTGGACATTGCGAAGGCCTTCGATCGGGTTTGCAAACGCTTTAGCTCCCTTCCTATGGGATTCCCGAAAATTTCGATTGGATCACCAGCTTTCTTGCAGATCGGGGCATCAAGGTGTTGTACGGTGCCTGCAATAAGCGAGCTTCAAAGTTGAAATACAGATGACAGCACTGGTGATGCTCTTTACACCGGCCGAGCCAATATTTCTCGGGAAAACGTCTCCGAGTGCCGGGACAAACTTGTGTCTGAAGTCGAGTCTTTGCTGAACAGAGTCTCGGATTGGGGGCAACTAAATCTAGTCCAGTTTAACCCCCAGAAGACACAAGTTTGCGCGTTAACCGCTAAAAAGAACCCCTTTGTCGTATCTGCTCAGTTTCAAGGCACTCCCCTTGTTGCCTCAGCCAGTATCGGAATCCTCGGCGTCGACATATCGAGTGACGTGCAGTTTCGTAGTCACTTGGAAGAGAAGGCCAAATTGGCCTCTAAAAAGCTTGGCGTGCTCAGCAGAGCGGGACAGTATTTCATGCGCACGCCTGGGGAAGCCCAGCCTCCTTCCACTTGACCGCATCCAGCGCAGAGCAGCTCGAATCGTCGACGACCGAGTGATTTCTGATCGGCTCGATTCACTGGCACTGCGAAGAGATGTTGCATCTCTTTGCATTTTCTTTCGAATATACCATGGAGAGTGCTCTGAGGAATTGTTCGGATTAATCCCAGCCGCCAAATTTCGTGAACGCACTACGCGGCAAACGTCTCGATACCATCCACACCATCTGGATGCTTGGCGGTCCACCACTGTACGTTTCAAGAGAAGTTTTCTTCCGCGTACAACCTCTCTGTGGATAGTTTACCACCAGCGATTTTTCCGGACCGATACGACCTGGGGACCTTCAAGAAAAGAGCGTACTCCTTTCTAAAGTGCCGGCAACGCACCAGCGATTCCCCCGGTGTTGCGGTTGATCATGGGCGGTTGTAGTAACTTAACATCAGGTGAGCTGCATGCTCGTTTGCCCCCTCTTCTATAAAAAAATCGGGAAACGATGACGAAACAATGTAACTCTTGTGACTTGTAGCTCCCTATCCCGGCCAACTATTACTTTTTCACAATTTTCCATCTGAACTCATTTTTTTTTTGCAAATCATGGTCTAAGTATCTCGTAGCTTCTTAGACTCTGCCTTCAGGGATTACAGGGTGCACGTTAGGAAAATGTTAGGATCATCATTTTCCTGACAGATTAATTTTTTATAGCATTGGATGACAAACCAGCACACAGTCCACTGAATGGTAAGTGGAAGCTGTGGCCCATAGACATCAAATTTATCCTCAATTAAGAATCAAAATGCAAATGCTTCGTCACCCTTGAAAACTAAGATAAATTGTCTCGATTCCAGTAAAAAGGATCTCCGGTTCTCTACATTCACCATACGGAACAATGCAGCATTACGCTGCTATTTTACGCTGGTAATCTGTGAAAGCATGTTACTGCCCCGGTAGGGGGCCGACCCATTTGTGCTTATAGCTGCAGCCTTGCTCTACCACGTAATATTGTTAATAAATGTATAATGTATAATTACACAAATCTTTGGTATACAACTGAAACCTACTGAGTGGAGAAGAAATTAGATGGTTGTCCGTTCTTTTAATATCAGAACCAACTTTGCTGGTTATCATTACAAAAAAATAGTAATCCTACATCTTAAAAGTTCTACGAAGTGAACGTCACGATACTACGTGAACATTTACGCTACAACAACAAGAATAAGCAACAGATGGTCTAAAAAATAAAATGGTTTACGAAGAAACAGTCGAAACACTGCAGCTTTATGCTGCCATTTCATGCTGGTATTCTGTGCGTGCGTGATCCTTCCCCGGACGAGCAGTCATTTCTGCTGGAACCATAATACGCTGTGCTGTGGCTCTACCATGAGTAAAACCTGGCGTCTTCAAAAGATGATCGCTTACCGAAACAATTTTTCAATGAGTAGTTTTCCAATAAAGCCCGTCCCACCAGTCACAAATACAACTCGATCTCTATAGAATCGCTGGATTGGGGAGTTTTCTCGTTCTGCAGTTTCTAATAGATACTTATTTCGGGCAATAACTGTTTGTTCAAATTTGAAGGCAGGGTCCATTTCCTCTGAAGTAAATAAATGTTGATAATAAAGTATAGACAAGTCTTCTTATTCTTCAGTAATTCATAGAACTCCAATACTAGACATGTACCTGTCTCGTTGTTTGGAGCGTTTGCCTTAATCTCCACGCTTAGGAGGTGGATTGGCTATCGCAGTTACTGCGTTATATCATCTAGCATCGTTAACGCTGCTCCCGCCACCTAACCGGATATTTTACGCCTGGTGTGAACAAGCTACTTAAACGCCATCGTTTGTTTCCTATAATCGTCACTTACTACACCCACAACAAAACGTGCTGACAGATTATCTTATACCACCACGAAATCACGTTTGTAATGCGATTCAAATAAGAATAGGGACGCAATGACCTATAGTGACCGCGGTCTATCAACTGTCTTCTCTGAAAAGTATGACTAACCTTTTTATAGGAAAAGGGTGACAAGCTAGCACACAGTCCACCTGACGGTAAGTGGTTTCTATGGCCCATAGATATCTACATCTATCCTCGTTTGCGAATCAAAATGCAGATGCGTTGTCAGCCTTGAGGACTAAGATGGAATGCCTCGTTTCCAGTAAAAAGGGTCTCCGGTTCTCTACACTCACCATACGAAGCACAGCAGTATTAAGCTGCTATTTGACTGAGTCTTAGTGTTATTTAACTGTGTTGTTAGTGTTTTATTTAACTGAATCTTAGTGTTACCAAATCTATTGAAGTCATAATTAGTTTTATAAATAATTTACATTTACAAAAATGTTCATCAGTTATAAAGCCAAATGGTGAGCCTAAAACTAGAAGCAATTGCTTCAATTTCCAGTAACGATTGGAAGAAAGAAATAAAACACCACCAAACTAATAAATAAATATTATTTCAAAAATATCTGTTTTGCTCACCCTACATAACCGGTCCATACCAGTTGTGACGTCACAATATATCGCCAGGTCAATACTATTCTTATTTAAATCGCATAGTGTGTATTTACTATGTATTGACTTATACCAAAGTAATACAGTAATTATATTAAAATTAATGCATGTGTAACGGGCAAAGACTCTTATACTTTTAAGTATAAAGTTAATATAACTTAAATATTACGAAATATTAAAATAACATAATATGTATTTGCGATTGGCGTATTGTGAAAAATCGTTAAAAATAATTAAAATTCCACTGATCACTGTTCTTAAGACAATAAGGAGAAGTATTTCCAGGGTCATATTTAAAAGACGTATACTTATCTCTGGCCTGAGAAACTTAAATGTTTGTCAATGTCACACTTAAAACTTTACAAAGACTTGTTGACTTGTTCCCGTACATACAATTATAAAATACGTCAGCAGTAGTTGTTTATAATTATGTAGGCAACAACTTTTACAAGTAATTATAACGCATTGAATTTTGCAATACAACTAGTCAGATTATGTGTCTTTCAATGTTCATTCTTGTGCTAAAAATATTGTACATTGAGCAAAGTGTTGAATATTGTAAAATGTCCTAGCGTAAAGTAGATCCTGCGAAATCGATGCCTGCGTTGGTTCGATACCCTCGCTCTGATAATTCTGCTATTTATGTATGAACAGTCTTTGAAATATTGGTTCAACGTATGTTGGATTTTCTTCTATCCGTCCATTATACGGGTGACAACGCATCTGCATTTTGATTCGTAATCGAGGATAGATGTAGATGTCTATGGGCCACAGAAACCATTTACTATCAGGTGGATAGTGTGCTCGTTTGTCACCATATCCTATCAAAAAAAAATAAAAAAAATACCAGGACTTCGCATGTAATTGAAATTATTATTGGCGAAAAAGATGACATAGTCCAACACCAAAGAGTGTAATTATTATATTTTTTATTAAACTTAAGTGACAAATGAACTTACAGTCCACCTGATGGTATACAGATCAAACACACATACAGAATGCACCGTCACCTCTGAGGACTAATACTAGCCTTCATTACATACCCTTTAAATTGGTACACAGCAACGCCGACACTGCTATTTGGCCCTAGATTAGCCCTACCTAGTATTTTTATTTAAATTACTATTTTATGTATTTTTATACATTATAATGCCACTTACCCGAACAAACAAATTTAATATTAATAACTTTATAGATAGATTTTAATACTACAAGCTCAGCAAAGAGTCAATTAGACAGTGTGACAGTGTGGGTTAAAGCCGCAAATCCAAATGTAATTGCTAATTGCACAATGAAATCTGTTTATTAGGTGCTCCATATACATTTAATCAATTCCTTTCAATTGTTTTAATCGTAAAGTACATAATTTTACTTAGTAAATACGACACATACAAATTTCCACATACTCAATTTGAAATTCCAATTAGACTGTCCTATATATTGGGTCCTTACATATGAAATTAGCGTTTTGTCGTACTGACCATTTTGATCTGAAATATCTCCTCTTTGGTTAAGAATTCCAAATTCAAATTTATAAATTCATTTAATTTTTTTTATTTAATTCGTTTTGAAAACTGTCATTCATTTGTTTCTTCCTCATTATTTGTTTCTTTGACGTCGCTTATTACCGCACAACGGAAAACATGAAATATCGGTATATTTAAGAGTACAAGTTCTACCGTGCCACCAATGCTGCAGAAACAGCTTGAAGGATTAATGATGTGTACGGTGCTGGTGTCGCAAAAGAAAGCACGGTACGTTTTTGGTTTCAACGTTTTCGTTTTGGAAATTTAGACCTTCAGAACCGACCCCGTGGGCGGAATTAAAGGCTATTGTGGAAATGGATTCATCACAAAGCACTTCAGAGATAGCTGCAGGCTTCGGGGTAAGTGATAAATTTGTATTAATCCACTTGAAGCAAATCGGGAAAGTAAAAGAACTTGAACGATGGGTACCTATTGAATCGATCGAGTGAATCGAACTTTCAAACACGCGTCGACTGCTGTGTTACTTTGCTCAACTGACACAAAAATGAAAGGATTTTAAATCGAATCATTACTTGTGATAAAAAGTAGATACCGTACGATAATCGAAAGCGCTCGTCGCAATGGCTGAACACTAAACAAAAAATTGACTTAGAAAAAGTTATTTGTGAGTGTTTGGTGGTCTAGCACCGGTGTCATTCACTACAGCTTTCTAAAATCTGATCACACGATTACGGTAGATATCTTTTGTCAGCAACTGCAAACCATGAAGGAAGAACCAGCTGCTAAACCACCAAGATGGTCATCCTCTAGGCCACTGCCTTCACAAACGCAATTACACACTCAAACAAACAAACAACCACTAAGTAAGATGAGCTACAATTGGAATGTCTGCAACATCCACCGTACTCCCCGGAATTTGCTCCAAGAGATTACCATTTTTTTCCGGAATTCGGTCAACTTCTTACAACGAAAAAAGTTCAACTCCGATGCGGCAGTCCAAACCGCCTTCAAAGAGTTTATTGATTCTCGCCCCATGGTTTTTTTTAGTAAAGGGATCAATGAACTACCTATGAGATGGCAAAAGTGCATAGATAACAACGGTGCATACTATGACTAATTAAATATATTTTACAATAAAAAATTGACTTTATATTCCTCCCGTACAAAACGCCAATTTCATATGTAAGAACCTATTATTCATCATACAAAATGCTAGCATACAAGCTGTTAGTCTCTCGTGCACGTAACGCTATAAAAACGTTAAGTCCCTATTTATTAAAAAAAAGATTATTTTTTTATATTTACGCGAACACTACACATTAAATAAAACCATTTATACGGACTCTATAGCGTTTAATTACTTATTTTAAATTCCCGACGTTTCGGGTGCTTTACAACACCAACGGTCAATTGGGACTGAGATGTTTGACGTCAATGTTATGGTTAGCCCGGCTACTTTAATAATAAAAAAATGAAGGTAGCCAGCCTAACTATGACATTGGAACGTCAAACATCACGTCACAGAAACAGCAACGTCGGGAATTAAAAATAAGTAAATTAAACGCGATAAAATCCGTATAAATAGTTTTATTCAATATTAAAAAAGTATTTACAAAACGTAAACCCACATGGTGGTAAGAAGTCCTTATCTATGGAGTCAGTCTGGGAAGGTACCACCCTACACGTGTCAGCCGCTAAACTTGCACTGCTGATGATTTCTTTTGAAGAATCGACGCTGCGGGAAGTCTGCAGTCTGTGAACATGTACAGGATCGCCCCCGTCACTACATCAGATTTGATAGACCACAAATCCTCGCTAAAAACACCGATTCCCTCCAAGGATGATTCGCGAGGCTGTTGAAATCAAAAAACATCCTAATTTCAATAGAGAAGATGGCTGGGTGCTACCATCTGCTTGGGATCCTATAATAAATAAAATTAAATCCCAACCCAAGCATACAACTGCAAGACTTCAAGATACCATAACTTCATACTGTGTAGATAGGAACAAAAGTTAAATTTTAATCTATGGTAACCGCGGTTAACTATGTCATCTGGACGTTGAACATCTCAGTCCCGCCCGTGACCAAGAGTGCTGTAAAGCGTTCGAAACGTCGGGTATTTAAAAAGTTAAATATACGGGATAAATTCCGTAAAAACTAGTATTATTTCATTGCACTGCTGATCTTCGACATGAAAGGTATACAGAGCCAGTATTGTTACAGGTTGCGAGGCATACCATCTTAGTCCTTCGAGGTGACAACGCATCTGTAACCCTCCTAGTTTGAAGTTAGCTGCAGGTGTCCATGGACTACATTTTACCATCAGGTGCACTGTAACTGTTTTTCACTTCAGTTTTATAAAAAACAACCTTTAAATTCTTCACACTATAAATAAAAAGCAACGTTTACAATGCTGTGACATACTCGTATTATGTTCTAAGCCGCCTAACCAACTTTGTGAGGTGAGCATATCTGTCAGTCACCCACACCTACATAAAACACTAATTATTCTGATAATGATATCTTTAGTAGAACACACACGAGGCCACCGTTTGTTATAAAGGAAGCCTGTCCACTTTGTTACGGGTCTTTCCAAGTCTAAAAATGCACAAAATACCTTCTAGTTTTGAGGCAAAATTTGTTTGTGATCACACGTATAGAAATGGCCTGATTCGTATATACCATTCCCTTTTTAAATCCAGCTTGCGCATCTCAAATTTTTCCATTAATTTCTTTCATAACTTTTTTAATCGTCAACTTAGCATACAGTTTTCTGACAATGCCAAGCTTATCTGACAAGCAAGAAAAAGCAAACCAAACTACTGTGATCCTTTTTTACTTAAAATAGTAAGAGTATTAGGCTTTAAAATTATTATAAAAAAGAAAACAAGAGTTTTTTTTCCTCTCGACTGTAATTTCCGACGCCGTAATTAGATTTAATTAATGTTTGGGTTGAACAGACGTAAAATAAATGTTGCTTACGTCAATACAATATGTAGTTTCATTACCACAATGATAAAAAACTGAGATTTTAATTAGCAAATAAATATTTCTCGACGTTAATAATACAGTTGAATCAAACTAATGTAAAAACTTATTGCATTAACATATTAGTATGTGTTCTTTAAAAACAGTTTCTGTATTTTTAACATCAATATCATCGTCAGCCTTAAAGACAAACAAGTGGTCAAATTAATTTTTTTAAACAACCGTCTTCAATATAAATAAAATGAGAACATAGTCAATGTAGTCAAAGTCAATTAAATGCGTATTTATTAAGGATAACTCAAAAACTACTGGTCAGATCTTCATTAAATTTAAATAGGACCACATGTGAAGCATCAGCTTTCAAATAAAAATTAATTGTCAAAATCGGTTCACCTAAAAAAGTTCTGAGGGATGTCAAACACCTGAGGTGTTCTACTTCCGTGACTATGGATACTAAAGCACCCGCAGCATCGGAAACATCGGAAATTTAAAAGTTAAAATTTAACGCGATAAAGTCCGTAAAATTATGTAGTTTTGTTTAATGTAAATTTTAATATTTTACCTATCTTACTCGAGTTATCTGTGACAAAGCCGAGTACCGGGACAAACTTGTGTCTGAAGTCGAGACTTTGTTAAACAAAATAACGGACAGGGGGTGACTAAATCTAGTCCAGTTTAATCCCCAAAAGACACAAGTTTGCGTGTTTACCGCTAAAAAGAACCCCTTCATCATATCTCCTCAGTTTCAAGGCACTGTCTTTGTTGCCTGAGTCAGTATCGGACTCCTCGGCATCGACATATCAAGTAACGTGCAGTTTCGTGGTCACTTGAAAGAGAAGGCCAAATTGGACTCTAAAAAGTTTGGCGTGCTCAGCAGAGTGCTACAATATTGTGCCGGCGGTCGACACTTACCATCAGAAATTTTTATTTAATGTGGGCGAAACCCTGAGGTGGAAAGCTAGTAAAATATAAAAATCTAGTGAATAAATTCGTGGGATTGGGCAAACATAGACAGAATAGGCCGATGGTGTGTGGTACGCATATTCTTAGTAAACCTAGAGCTGTCAAAACTGGTTGTAGTGGGTCAGCATAACCAGGGAAGGATCACAAATAGCCGGGTAATATAACACCACATTGTTTCTGTGCTTCCTATGGCGAATGATGAGAACTAGAAATCCATTTTACTTTACTTTCCTTACTTTAGTAATGACGACGCAAGGAAATGCACTCAAGCATAACGGCGCATCTTTGTTAGGTTATATGTAGAACAAGAATAGATGTAGGTATTGGCCGCCTACAGCATCCACTTACTATCAGATAGTCTGCGTACTCGTTTTTCACCCTAATTTTCATAAAAATATTTTCATTTATTTATACTTTTGTAGATGTATTAGCAGTAAAGTTGATAAATACTTCGCAGTGGAACTTTTCGTAGAACTTATAGCTCTTAGATGTGGAAATAGCGCGTATGTAGACTCACTGACGTCATATAAAAAGCGCCTATTTTCAGTGAAGTTTTCCAAAATGGTATTTGCTATTGTGACGGCCCAATATTATTATTAATAATTAAATTACAATATAAAGGGGCGTCAAAAATAGTCTTAAAAGATATATATTAAGCAATTAAGTTAAATTAATAAACATAAAGGTTAATATATTTCGGACATTATCCCAATAACATAGTAAATTAAAGGCAAAATTATTGTTTTTCGTAATAAATAAATTTATTTAAAAACTTGAAAAATATTTAAAATAAGATAAATAATAGAAATACAAGTCAAAAAATATTATAAAATTAAGTTAAATAACGTTTATAAGATAATTAGAAAATTTGTTAAAAATGTGTTCATGTATAAAAGAAAATTTTTCAAGTTGTGGAAGGAGTTCACGTATAGATGAAATTTCCTAAGTTGTTGAAGGAGTTCATGTATTAAAGAAAATTTTCCTAAGTTATGGAAGGTGTTCACGTATAGACGTCTTGTATGGAGGAAGCTGTCGGAGGTACATACCTGCAGTTGTACATATATATGGGGTGGTCGGGGGCCCGACTGCCTAGCACTGAAGTACTGTAGCACAATGACTAGTGCTATATTAGGGACTTATGATATTAAACTCAATGATACAAAAGCAATACTAAAGAAGGTCTCCATGATGAATTTGCATTACAATAGTAGGGTCGTGGGTTTGAACCCTATATATTAATGACTTATGAAAGTAAGGTCTATGATCCAAAAGCAATACTATAGAAGGTCTCTATGATTAATATGCATTACAATAGTAGGGTCGTGGGTTCGAATCCTATATATGAATGACTTATGAAAGTAAGGTCTATGATTCAAAAGCAATACTATAGAAGGTCTCTATGATTAATATGCATTACAATAGTAGGGTCGTGGGTTCGAATCCTATATATACATGACTTATGAAAGTAAGGTCTATGATACAAAAGCAATATTATAGGAGGTCTCCTTGATGCATAAGCATTGTATGGGGTGGTCGGGTGACTGACTGCTCCTATTACTGTAGCAAAATGACTAGTCCTTATTAGGGACTTGAAAAGGAATATTATGGTGGCGTGTGTGCTGCCTCACGAGCAATTGGTCCGAGGTAAACTTGGACTCGCTAACCGATGTGTCCTAGACATATCATCTAAGTGCCGGTGGTAAGCGGGTTTGTTGTAGCAATACGGCTTTCCCGTGGACATCGCACACCCATACCGTTTGTGGGCGGCGTAGTAGCGCATAGCGATGCGTCGTCTATCTTTCGGATTGGGATGATGAGTGTGTTTGGTAGCACTTTTAAGTGTAACAGGCATACTCAACTTCATGTCTTAGTGCATTAGCGCTATGATACGTGGAGTTTTGTTCATTGGCGTCTTAGTAGCGTGCTACTATGACACGTTGGTGATATATTTTATATAACAACAATACCAACTTTGTTACCATAGTCGATAGGCATCATGTGGGTGTGTAGTGAGGGGGCGCCACCCGTATGATAGTTGCATTGATGCTTACTGCTACTTGCGGTATTGCGTCTTGTGATGGATCTGCGGGTGTGCTGCGCCTGATTCGACGCATTCTTGTGGTTCTGGTCGATGGAGGTATGCGGGTGGTGATGTCTGCTGGGATGTATGGGGGACCTTGGGATGGTGTAAGCCCGACGATAGTCGTATTGATGCTTGTTGCGTTCTGCAGCATTGCGTCTCTGCGATGGTTGTTTGGTGGGACGCTATTCTCAATGGCGCTCTCTGCGTCTTGGTTTGACTCACACCTAAGTAGCTTTGCCCAACTCGGGTCCCTTCATTGCGGGGCTGCAGACTGTCTGCCCTCCACGATGTTTTATATAACAACATAATATTATATCTCTGTAACTTTCCCACCTTTGAATGATTGAGGGCAACTTGTTGGTGGGTGAGACAAACATGATCAAAAATGCATTTACTCAACGTCAATGACACAAACCCATTCTGATGGCGAATTATTACTCTTATCTTATAACTGCCTTTTTGGCTATATCTGCCGTTGTATTGGTTGGTGGAGCATATGTGTCGACCTCATGCGGATGGTAGCGGGCGGGAGGATCTGAGGAGACTCTCAAGGCTGCGGCCGAAAGCCGCACAACGTGGGACCCCATTCCCTTGAGGTGAACGGTAGACTCATGACACGCTCTGCGGCTAGTAGCCGTGCTGATCATGCAATTGGTGGTGATGCCATACACTTACATCACGTCTGCAGGAGCGGCGGTCTGGCAGGTGGTGGCGCTCACGGAGGATTTACGGCCAGTGTGCCTATTTGCCTAAACCGTGTGACGTACATTCACTGTGGCTGGATTCGTTCGTATTCTGTATGGAGTTTACACGCATTGACATGCGCGACTTCGGTCGATGTTTGTGCTTACGCACTAACAAGGGGCCAAGCCTCTTTTACTGGTTCGCCAGTTATTTTGCTGTAGACTACGGTCCAGTTCCCGAATTAGCGTTCCCTTCGGGGGGAGTGCATCAAAATGGTTGGCACTCACCGTGCACGGCGTGTGTGGGACGGTGTGCCTCCCCTACATTCCTTTTAAATAAATGTGGGAGAGCGAAGCCCTTGTATCGGTTATTTTGTATAAATATATTTTGAGCCTTTTCCGAGCGGGAACGGATAATTAATAATGTAAACCTAATGCAAGTGGAATAGGGACGTTTTATGTTCTTAACATTTTTCGAGCCCTGTTTTCGTGAACGGAGTTCACTTAGCTTATAAGGCACTACCAACAGCTTTCAATTGCTCTAGTGAATATTCATTCTTCCAAAAGACACCTAAAAGAACTAAGTTACTAAACAAACACAACGTAAATGAGGGTCCTAACTAAGACGATCACGCCAAAATATTACAAATGGCCTATTATTAAACCTTTATAAAGATCATTTAGAAAGACCAAAACATATTTTATTAATCTTGGTCACAAATATATATAATTATTATGTAAAGGGGAATATAA